AAAAAGAAAAAAATATCCTTTTTTTTATTTTTTTGTTAGTTCCCGATTTGTTTTTTTTTTTTTTTTTTTTTTTTTTTTTTCAAAAAATGAGGCAGAAATCTGTGCATTTGTTTTGAAGATTATATGATGTGTTTTTCTTTTTTTTTTTTATTTACAAGCTGGACAGATCACCTGGTTGGAAACGATAAAAAAAAAAGCCAGTTTCTAAGAAATGTAAGAGTGTTTCTGTTTGTGTAAAAGCGGTAAAAATCAGTCTGACCTCTCGTGGGGCAGGGCAGAGTTTGTTTCTGTGTGACGAACATAGAGGATTGGCAACTTCTCGAAGCAGGAAACAGGGAATTTCCTGACCTTGGCACCAAAGGGCCAGCATCTAACCTGTTTCTCTCGGTTTTGAAACTCTGCGATTCATATTGCGCCCACCACTGAAAAAGCAGTGGGCATGTTTGAACATTTGAACTTTCTAGTACATGAACTTCCTTTTCAGAGTCAAGTGAATACAGCCGGATTCTGAGAAGCTACATTTTAGTATTGACTGTCTGTCTCGTTTGTGCGTGTGTGAATGCATGTTCAATCATACAGCCGGTTCTCAGGGTGGTGAACCTGGCAACTTCCTCCCAGGAGACCTCACAGCTGACAGATGTGTTTCTGAAGATTAAAACAGAATAGATTTATGCTTCATTTTTCTCTGATTGGGGGGGATTTTGCTCTGTGTCAGCAAGTCTCAAGAGCCAGAAACTATTCACACCCCTTTATTTCTTCAACATTTTCTGACATTACCGACTGAATCTGAAAGCTGCAGAACATATGAAACATTTATAAAACATTATATATGTTTTACACAGTTGTTAAACTGTCACTAATCAAGCTCCTCTGCCTTCTTCCAGTGCTATCTGCAGAAATACTCAGGAACAACCAATCAGAGCCAGCAGGAGGGTCTTAGTGCTGTCAATCATCCTAGTACATTGCTCACATCTTCCCCCTTGCTCTCTGCCATGCGACAGCTTCATCCCGGCAGCAGAACCTGCCACCTGGAACGGTAAGTTGTTTTTCTACTTTTCAGCTTTGAGTAAAGATATATTTACATTGACAGGTGCGTGCCTTTCCAAGTCAAGTCCAGTCAACTGGATTTAGCACAAGTGGACTATATTTAGGTTGTAGAAACTTTTCAAGGATGATCAGTGGAACCAGTTCAGTTTTGAGCTTAATGCCAAAGGCTGCAATATGTAAATATGATTTCTTGGATTTCTATTTTTGATTTTTTTAAAAAATCCACATTAATTCAACACATTGAAATAGTGGTGTAACATAACAAAATGTGGAAAAGTGAAGCATTTTGAATGATTTCCAGATGCACTTTAAGTTCAGTTAAATGAACATGATTTGCAATAGGACTTTATAAAATATCCCGTAGCTAATACTGCAAATCAGATCAGAAACAAAGCTGTGAAGTCAAAGGAAATGTATATGGATCTGATTGTGTAAACCACAGCTCTCGTGAAGGATACAAAAAAATGTTTGAAACATTTAACATTAGTTAGGAATCATAAGGACCCACCTTAGATCAAGGATAAAAGGCCTTGATAATGAAGGTGACCAAGAACTCAGTGCTCAATTGTTCACTTACACCAGAGTGTTGAAATGTTTTATTTCTCTCCCTGGCTCAACACATATGAATCAGATGAAGGTTTATTAGCAGGCCTCTTCAGGAAATTAACATGCTGTGATGAACCAGAGAGAGAAATAAACCTGCAGCACACCAACTCCACAGACTCTGGGTATCCTTACTTAGACAGAGTGACTATGTTTCATTTGTCTTGATAATATCACCCAGGAGATCAACCATTGCTACTACAGTTCACCAATCAGATGTTCATGGAACAGTAGCCAGGAAAATCTAAAAGGCTCTTGACAGTCAGGTTGATTGTTGCTGAAAGGAGCCTAATTAGAATGAGCAACTAAATTATAGTCTGTAGAAACCAAACTAGTCATTCTTGGCCTGAACTTATTGAATCAGACCTGGAGAGAAAAAAAAACAAACGAACAAAAAAAAAAAACAAAAAAAAAAAAAACGCTCTGGTCATGAACTGGCCAACTCCGATCCTACCCTACAATGAAGCATCTTTATCTGTGGCATGATGTGGACGACCAGTCTGCATACAGGGTAAGATGACAGCAGCTAGATATAGAGAGATTGCTTAGGCAATAATTCATTTCCCACCGAAACAATGGCGCAATAAAAGTGGCTATTCTGCGCTAGAGGGGGCAGGTTTATGTTGGTGGAAAAACTATTTTGAGTTGCCGTTCTCTGTACTTAACAACTCTTTCTGCATTTTCAAATTATATGTGTAAAGGCCAACTGAATGTAGTTAGCATTCAGTCAACTTAGGCTACGTTCACACTGCAGCTTCAAGTGACCTAATTCCAACCTGTTTGTGTTCTCCAGTGTGAACAGCAAGCGACCTGAAAGTGTCCCGCATGCGCAGTAGAGGGCGCAATATCACAAATAGAGAGCGTGCTCAGTGTTTTGCCAACCGTCATAAAGAAGAAGTAGAGCTCAGTGTTTGCGGAAGTAAACATAGATGCTAACGGTGGAACATAGCTTATGATTTTAAAGTTGTTGTCCGAGCGGAGCCAGTACAGTAACAACCTAATCACCATTACAGTCCATTACAGCTTTTCTTCTCGTTTGGGCGTATCAGGACGCAGAATAGTGACGTTTGTCGAGTATCAATGACGTTCATTTGGACGAATGCGCCCTGGACGGTGGGTATCAGATATCGTAGTCTGGGTCGGATTCGAAAAAAATCCGACCCCTGTTGTTCAGACTGTCATGAAAATATCAGAAACAGGTCGCATTAAGGCAAACAAAAAAAACAAAAAAAACCCCCAAAAAAAACGGAATTAGGTCACTTCAGGCTGCAGTGTGAACGCTGATGATGAGATGATTGATGATTTATTAAAGCCATCCCTGTTTCTCGTCAACCACGGTAAGATCTAAAAAAAATTACAATCGTTTTCATCATTTGTGACGTAGTTCGCTAAAATTCATTTCATTAATCATTAATTAAGCAATCACAGAATTAAAATACTTAAACTTCAACTGCTGTACTGTTACCATGGATACCTCATAAAGAACGTTGACAAAATAAAAGCACAGAACTTTAACGGCATTCACAATAAACAAAGTAACTACATTCGAAGTGATCAACAACAGAGGCATGAAACTCACACCCTAAAGCCGATCAAAATACAGGCCCCTTCAAAAACGAGTTGGGCATAATTTTTTTTTCCCCATTTGAAGTCTTGTATTTTATAAGTCCATAACTAAACCATATTTATACACCTGCACATTGAAAACCCCGGACAAGGGGTGCACCTGTAATGCACCCCTTGTCCGAGTGCATTACAGGTGCACCCGGACCTGTATGTTTACACTCAGAGATGTAAACATATCTGAGTTTACACCTCAGATATACCTATCTGAGGTGACATGTTTTCACCTCAGAAAACATATCTTTGTAAAACAGGTGTTTTCACCACACCAATGGGGAACCTATGTAGATCTATTTTTGACTAAGTCTGTGCAAAACGTGAGAAAACTGAAGAGGTGTGAATGATTTTAGTTGACTCTTTATATGGGGACAAAAAGCAACCATGTGGGAGTGCAAGAGACTGTGGATTTAAATGTAAAGGTGTAGGATAAATATTAAGCATGGATTATGGAATTAGATTTAAATTCAGATTTCTTAGGAAAATGTATATTTTCTTGTGAATCAGTAGGCTACTATTTGACGATGACGTTTGATATTATCTTTGTTAGTATTTTACTCTTCAGCTTTCAAAACAACAACACCAAGAAGCACAAAAAAACGAACTGAGACCTGTTGTTTCCTGTTGTGATTGTCTGCATTTGCTCTCCCACTGTCTTGTCAACTTTGTGCCTTTCTTTTTTGTGTTTTCCCTTTATTTTTTTAACTTTTAATCACCCCTTTTTGTTTGTTTTTGGCACATTTTCTGCTATGCGAAGGCAGGAAATCTTTAATGTCTTGAACAGACTTTTAACAAAGAAAAACCCTGCGTTTAACTGTCCTTTCTGTGCACTCTGGGTTTTGAAGAAGACAGAAAACAATACGGGTCGCACTGTGCACACAGTTCACACAGTGAGCATGTCATGTGAAAACTAAAAAAAAAAACAACAACTAGAAAGCGGTCAACGCTCTCAGACCCTGTGGTTTCTATCTCTTTTTTTTTTTTTTTTAAGTGTGAAAAATGAAGTAAGCTCAGAAAAGTACAATGCACTTCTTGTTTTGAAGCACACATTTTGAAATTGAGCAGGTATCCACAGCTTGAGTCGCAACAGTACTTTGTGGTCTCTTGGCATTTGATTAAAATGACTATTTCTTCATAGAAACTGCAGAAAGACACCTGTGAGAAAAGTGTCTGAGTTGATTTCTCAAACAGACTTCTCTGTAATGCATCTAGAGTTAATCCGAATTACATGCGTGCAAATCTGCAAAAGGGAATTAAATAAAAAAAATAATAAAATAGAATAATTTGGATATTGTCGTTATCGGTTTATGATGATTAAATAACTAGCAAAGAAATATGACCTGATTTGTAGCTTTCGTGCGATATGAAACCAGATGTTTCCACTTTGATGGTTTTACGTATCGTGTGCTTTGACTGTCAGGACCGCCGAGTGTTTGAAAGCACGTTAAATCGCAAGGTTGTGTGAAAGTCTTTCTTGTATAATTAAAACTTGAGATTTATTGTCACTACAAAGCTCATTATATATGTTTACAATGTGTCAATTTCTATTATTTTCAAATCATGTTTAAACAGCAGCTGATAGATTTGTTTAAGCTTAAGAAGAAGTGGATGAGCAGTACTGCAGCAGTAAAAATATGTATGACAAAATTAGATTTTATTTAAAGAAAAATACAAATCAAACCATTCATCAAATGTAGTTAACATATGTAAACTATGGATTACTGGAGCTTTGTCAGTTTCACTGCAATTTAACAAAAAGTGTTTATCTGGAAAAACTTGCAGCTAATTGTAAAAAACAGTTTTTTTCCTGACACATTTATTTCCCGCATTAAAAAAAAAAAACTTCAAAAAACACAACAAAAGATGAATCAGAAAAGTACAAATCTTGAAAGTTTTACAAAAAACATAAAAATGCTAATAATTCAAAGCTAATGTTATGTTTAAGAACTAATGTTAGGTTAATGCTAAAATAATAATGCAACATGCAAAAAATAAGCAGCCAAGTTATGCACTGCCATCCAGCATAAGCAGTATTAACAGCATTTTCTTAGAAGAGGAAGACAAAAAAAAAGAAAAGAAAAGAAAAAAAAAACAATTGTACAATTAAACATAAAACAAATATTTCAGAAACAAACAAAAAAAAAAGATGAATTATTTAATGTTCTACCGTAATACATCAGGGCTCTGCAGGAGAAAATTAGCAGACTAAAATTTTTACAAAAAAAATGAATAAAATTGTGTGTGATTGTCTGATAGATTTTAACTGAAGTATAAAACAATGACGTCACCTCTTCTGGACTTTCAGAAGGTAATGAATGACTTGCTCTCCTCCTGCAGGGACATCTGAATCTGCGTTCGCCCACCATTTGTCGCATAGGTCTCAGAAGTGCCGGGGTTGGTGATAGAAGCCGAGGAGTTGAAGCTCTGCAGCATCTTTGTCTTCCCGGCGCAGCTCTGGAACAGGAACTTCGCCCGTCGCCTGAAGTGGTGGTCCAAGAAGAAGTAGATGGCCGAGTTCACGCAGCTGTTGAGAAAAGCCAGGCAGGAGGAGACGAGGAATCCGTTGTGCAGCCATGCTTTATGTCTCAGTTCGCCTTCTGAGAGATAGGAAATGATTTTGATGGACTTGAAGGTGTTGTAGGGCAGCCAGGACGCCACGAACGCCACGATGATGCAGAGGACCATCTTCAGTGAGTGTCTGCGGCGACCCTCGGCTCGGGCGTTCCCAGCAGCGGCGCAGTGCCTGTTGAGGTGCATGATAATGGTTCCGTAGCAGACCATGATGATCAGCACCGGGAAGATGAACGTGAGGAACACCATGCCCAGATTCATGCCGATCAGGATCGCCAACTTCTCATCTTCCTGGCAAGACTGACCGTCTACAGATGGCGCCACTTTTCGGTAGATCAGAGAGGGAACGCCAAGGATGCCAGAGATGATCCAGAGGGCAGCACAAGTGATGCGAATGCACTTACTACTCCTGAGGTACCTGGAATCCATCATCTTCACTATTGCCAGGTAGCGGTCAATGCTCATGCAGGTGAGAAAGAAGATGTTGGAGAAGCGGTTGACAGAGATGATGTAGCTGCTCAGCTTGCACAGGAACTCGCTGGCAAACCCAAAGTCCCAGCCGTTCGTCTGGCTGGAAGAGATGGCCCACAGAGGCAGCGTGAGGACGAAGACCAGGTCAGCCATGGCCAGGTTCAAGACGAAGATGTCCACCAGGCGACCCGCTCTTTTGCCTTTGCTCCCCACCACCACGATCACAAAGATGTTGCCCCAGAATCCAGTGAAGAATATCAGGTAATACATGATGGGCAGAAAAATGTGGGAGCCGGGCAGGTCTGAGAAGTCACCGCTAAGGTCATAGGTCTCATTGTCAGTAAAGTTAGACTCATTCTCATAGCTATAATAACTGTAAGCTTCGTCCCCCATGCTGAGAGTTGATGGAGAGGTTGTGCTCTGCATCGAGGCGACTGATCTAACCCTCTGAACACACTCCCACTCGATATTACGAGTACAAACCACAGAGAGAGAGAAACAAAAAACAAGATCCTATTTCAGTTCTCTTCCTCTCTTAGCACCACAACGGTCTTCCTTTATCTGTCTGACTTGACTTCCCCTTATACCTTTTTCTCATGTAAATGAAAATACAATGCACTGAAAGTCCAAACATGTAGTTTGGAACTTGAGAAGCATCACTGACAGACCATGAGGAAGCTATGACAAATGTTTTGTCTTAAAAGAAAAACAAACTATTTTTTTTTCATGTACATTTTTGAGAATGTCCTCGGACGTCCATGCGCCTGTGGACTGTCAACAAGTCTGTGGTCAGGTGGCTTGCCATCATTTCACTTAAAAATATCTTAATATCTGCCCACTAACGTTTCCAGTTTGATGTCTCCTGCATCTATCTGACCAGTAGGGGGCAGATAAGCTTTACTTCTGTTTGCTTTTAAACTCTTCTTCACTCTAATACATTCAAACCTTTAAAATCATTGTGGCAAAATCTTAACATTCATTTTTTGGAACCATTTGTAAGACAAAAGTTTGCATTATTTATAAGCAACATGTCGACACTTTGCGGGGGAACAAGTTGCATGTAAGTTGATCTCTTAAATCACCTGAAAATGCTGTTCAGTAATCCGCTAAAACTGTGAAGTGAAAATGCACTTCCACAGATGTCCTAGTTAAACCCGACAGGCTGGCTGCGGATGAAATGTCATCAGCGCTACATGTTTTCGTTTTTTAACTAAGCTGCTTCTGCTGCAGGGAGTTCAGTTTCATGACAAAGCTTTGAGGCAGCAGAACGAGGTTGAGTTGTTGGTTTCATAAAAGTCATTGTGTTGTTTAAATATAAATAAAGAACTGTGAGACATTCTTAAAGCAGCTGAACTCATGTTTTAAATGATCAGCCTATTTATTTTAATATTGTGTAATTAGTAATAAGGGATCAATCTCAGCTCTACTGGCTCTTTACAAATATTCATGTCTTTCGAGCTTTTTCGCATTTTGATTCATTAAAGCTGCAACCCACAAAAAATGTTTAATTTATTTTCATCCCGAAATAAACTCAACTGCCTTTAGAAGCCATCTTATTAATAAATATTTTTGTTCTGTTTGAAACCTGCTAGAGGCTGCAAAAGACTTGAAACTGAGGAGGAGATTCACTTTCCAGCAGGACAAAAACCATAAACATACAAGCAGACGTAAAAAATGACTCTTTGGTTCAGATCGATGCATAAGTCATGTGTTAAGAGCGTAAAATCTGCTGTAGGACTTGAAAAATGTTTTTCATAGATCCTATCTAACCATTCTGACCAACTCTGAGCTGTTTTGCAAAGCAGAAAGGGCAGAAATGTCAGTGTTTAGAGGTACAAAGCTGGTAGAAAGTAGAAACACGGCTCGGGATGCATGCCACAGTTTCAGATGTTTATCTGAGAAAATATATATATATATATATATATATATATATATATATATATATATATATATATAAACATTTTATTTTATTTCCTAGGTATTGGTTTGTCACTAATGATGTTGAATTCTGTGGTTACAGCATGACAACATGTGTAAGAAATCAAGATAAGCTGTTTTGGCACTTTTGCAAGTTACCGGATTCAGATGTGCAAGAGTAAAGGTCAATGACCGTTCAAAAACAAGTGGCTTTACAATGCCGAACATTGTTTGTTAATCTCATTTCACCATTATTTTAGTTAGGATTTAATAAAAGCAGCATCTAATCGTCTGATTTGAGCTGACTGTCTTAAAGAGTGCAATTGTCAATATGAAAAATGCTTTTATTAGTTCCAGGTTTATGAAATTGTTGTTGTTTTTAGTGGTTATTGGTGGTGTTTTAATTTGTAAAAAATGTATGGGTGATTTCTTCTAGATGCCAAAGACATGTCTCCATCTCAACGATGATATACAAGGAGTTTCACTGTTTGCATTTTGCATTTGCTCAAATATGTAACTCTAAATAATCTCACCAGTGCAGGTGTGAGCCTCTTATATTAATTCGACTTGTTCGTCTCGCAGCTCAGATAAACCATGAGCAAAACAACTTTTCAAACCTAAATGCCTGACGAATTTTATTTGAACCCTCCGGGTTTAAAACCTAAAGTTCTTGCAAGTTTTCCCATCAGTTCTGGATACGCACGCCGTCATTGCTTGCCACAGCTCAGCGTGTAGTCAGCAGTTTTGGTCTCGTAATATCACAAAAGCTTGTAAACACATTTAACTCCGTGACAAAGCAACATGCGTCATCATAAAAAAAAAAAATTGCGTTACAAAACACCGCATGTGATTAAAAGAACAGAAACTTAAGTGCAGTTTCTGTATGAGTCGCCTGGCATTGCCCGTCAAAACCGACATGACTGGTGGTGGTGTGAGTGATCATGTAACTCCCCGCCTCACGCTGAACCCATTTGGCCGTGTTTGGTTGAAGGTTTGTGGCAGAGACGGAGCAGAGGAAGCCGCTGCACCTGTGCTCGCTAACAAAGGAGTTAGGTGAGCTCTCCAAAGCAAGGTCGAGCTCAAGAGAGATGACCTTTGTGCTGCTGCTTGTTGTTGCTTTACTGCGGTTGGGGAAAGTGAGGTCGGGGGACAGAGCACGTCTTACAAGAGAGCAGCTTATTGTTCTGAGGAGGAAAGCACTTAAAATGAATGACCTCCCCCCACCCCCATGGGATCCTCACTGCGCGTTATTTAAACACTCCTCGGCTTTGAAGTGTCAAGGTGATGTGCGGATATACTCATCACGGCAGAAAGTCCTGCCAGGCCCGTCATTGTTCGGCTTGACCAGGTTTGCCCTCAGCTGTACTTTCTACCCGAAAAGGTTTCATTATTTCTGCGGCATTCTTGCTGCTCTGTCAGTGGAACGCTGCATTCCTCTCCTCGAATAAGTGCTGTCTCACTCCAGTTGAGCAGAGTAAATGTGAGAGCCGGTGAATGGAGCAGCCTCAATGGGAGAAAATAAACAATTGCATTGGTGCACGGGTGAAGCAGGGAAGGTGGCGAGGAGCAAGGGGGGGAGGAAGGGAGGAAGGCCTTCCCAATGTGCAAGATTCCCATGGATACTCTTTCTGTTTGGAGGAGGATCTCCTAAAGATGATTTTACTCTCGCGTTGATTTTTTTTTTTTTTTGAGCAAATGAAGAGCGGGTTTGCATTTTAAACGCATACCGTGCCTTGCAAAAGTATTCACATCCCTTGGACTTTGCACAATTTGGATTTTAAGTGATGCACTAGTATGAGTGGTGTGTAACTGAGAAGTGGAAATTAAGTTATACAAGGTTTTCAAAAAACTCTAAAGTTTGGTTTGCATTTGTGCTCAGCCTCCGCGGGCCAGTATTTTACTTTTTGTGGAACTTTTTGTTGCAGTTTCCTTTGTTTTTGCAGTTTTTATTTTAGGATTTGAACTTCTAGAGAAATATGTTATTATATATGAATATATTTTTGCTCATTCTGTTTGCAAAAAGAAGCTCAAGTTGAGCCAGACTGGATGGAGAGTTTCTGTGAATAGCCATGTTCAACTATTTTCTGTTCTCTGTTGGGTTTAATCCGGACTTTAAATGGGCCATTCTCGCTCATATGCTTTGGGCAACACTTTACTTGAAGAGGTGTGCATAAGACTGGCACAACACTGTAATAAACATGACATAACACCTGTTATGAACATGAAGGAGTCTTTATGAATGTTTATGACTGTTCTCATGAAGTGTCATTCAGTAAATAATGACATCTTTAGTGCAAAGTTGACACTTTTAATGGAAGTTTTAGTACAACTTTGCATTTAATGTGATTCAGGGTCAACCTTAAACCTGAATGTTTAAGGTCGTCCTAGTGGAGAGTCAAACTTTCCCCATTTTCAAGCCTCCGATGGACTTATTTTAGGATTACCTTGTACTTCGCTCCATCCAGATGAAAATAAGCATCTCCACTGCATAATGCAGCCACCGTCATGTTTCACAGTGGGTATAATGTCTGATTAAGGTGAAATGCATTTAATTTGATGTTTTTTGAACAAGCTAAAAAGTTTAATTCTGGTTTTATCTGAGCACCTTCATTTGCTTGGATTGTGGATATCCGAGGGTTTTCTTTCAGCTATAGCTTTTTTCTATAATGATCCGAGTTTAAGCGTGAACAAACGGATAATTTCACTATCAGCAGACTTCAGAGGTACCACAGGTTTGCTGGTTGTTTCGCAGGTTAACGCTCTCCTTGCTCAGCCCGTCAGGTTAAGTGAACGGCCGTGCAGGTTTCCAGTGGTGCCACACTCTTTCCATTTCTAAACTATCAGTTAAATAAAACCCCAAGACGAGCTCAGATGATGTTTCGTAACTAAACGCTGCTCAACCTTTTCGTCGTGATGCTGTTTGTTCTCCAGTAAATCTCCAGTAAAGATGCTCAAGTGTACGCATAAAATTTCAATGAAATACACTGAAATTTGTGGTTGCAACGTAGAAATATGTTTACATGGCCTTCTATTCGACATCCGCCCACCAAAGCACAAACTGTTTTACACTCATTATGTGCAAAGATGAAGAAAATGACCTCACCGAGTGGCTCTGAAGCATGTCTTGTTTAACGAGGCTAAACGAATCAAAAGTTGAGCTGACACAAATAAAACTGCACATGATGCGCTCTCCGTTCTGTTTCATCTCTGGTGGTTGGAGGTGTTTACCCGCCACTCGCCCTTTGTTCAGAGTTTGTTACAGCTGTGAAGAAAAGATTTTTTCCCTAAAGCGTCAAAGTGAAAAGTTCTGCTTCATTTAGACACAAACTAAGTGAAAGCAAGAACCGTTCAAGTAAAATGGATTACACAGAATTTAATGGGATGGGTGGAGAAAAGAAAAAAAAAACATTACACCGTGTGATTCCTGCCTAATGCATAAGAAGCAAGAAATAGTAGCGGCCGTGTCACAACAGCTCCCAGGTGTTTGACCCTCATTTGTCATCATTACGTGGGGTGAATGACCCACACCGGCCACTGCAGGAGGCATGAACTACTG